TCTTAATAGTTGCTTGGATAGCTTGTATGAGTAAAACGGGAACGTTTTTGGAAAGTACTCTTAGAATATGCTGTTAAACATTTCCTTCTTTATAAAGACTGAGTTATGTTTGACTAAGTTAACCACCAATAATTGAAATTTAAATAAATAAATAGCACAGTGTGTGACTGTGAATGTACATGTATGTGTCTGCCAAGCAGAAAATAGAGAATATCTGTTAGGTCTTCAATGCCACCCAATGCTTCACCGTTTTGAAAACTTCATTTTCAGTTTCTTGTAATTTGACTAGTCTTTAATTGCCAACTGGGACTAGATACTTTTTTAGAATAATATGTCTGAAATCCTTGTTCTTTCTGAGAGTGAGAAGAAGAAAGACATCGTACATGTTGGCAAATTCTGGTGACCTTTTCTTTGGCTGTGAATTCGCATCTTCACATTTCTCAGTAAGAAGGACTGTCATGTAAAGGGTGCGCCTTTTGCCATCCCCCTGAAAACGCACCAAAATTTGCCGTAGTTGTACACCTTTGAAGAAGCACAGTGCTCACGCTTTCATAAGAGGCTTCCAGTTTGTAGTGGTTGAAATTCCTGATGGGCACAATTCTGCCCATAGCTAACCAGGACCAAGCCAAGGGCAAGGACCTCGCAAAGGTGCTGGTTCCTGAGCCAAGGACTGCCTCCCCTCGCAGTGTTTTTGGGGGTTCGGTACCTGCTGGGCTCCAGCTGCCTGGAGGAGGATGCCTCCTGATGTAAGAGCCAAGAAGAGAGGAGAAATGTAGGATGAACAAGTGGCATCGGGAGCCAAGGAAAATAAGATAACTGGTGGCCAAATTCCCACAAACAGGGGTTGTATGAAGAAATGAGAAGGCGGGAAGAATGAAGTTTGGAAGGAGTGCAGACAGCCCCGTGGGACTTTGTGGCAGATGTGTCTCACTTGGTGTCAGAGTGATTCACGCAGGTGGCAACTGGCTGCTGGTGCGTGTTACTCCAGCCATGTGGCAGCGAGTTGCCAAGTCCCAACGCTGTGACATTCACTGTCCGAACACCGACCATCCCGTTCCTAGGACGAGACAAGGATCTCCTGGTGAGAGCAATAGTGTGCCATTTTGTGCCTAAACTTACACCACAACGTCATGCACAGCACTAAAGTGACACAAGCGACACCCATCCTTGCTTTTCCAAACTTGTCAGTGTTTGACTTTGCATCCTTAATTCTCTTAAGAAATACATAGAATTAATGTTTTCCATTAGATTAATCTGTTCTTAATGGCATTCTGAATAATCCTCCCAATACACAACACGTAGGGGGCATCGCTGTTGCAATATAGCGTGCTAGAAGGATATAGCCAGCAGGATTGAGCCAGCAACGTGCCCTTGTGGCCAAGAAGGCCAATGGCATCCTGAGGGGCATCAAGAAGAGTGTGGCCAGCAGGTCAAGGGAGGTCATCCTCCCCCTCTACTCTGCCCTAGTGAGGCCGCATCTGGAGTACTGTGTCCAGTTCTGGGCTCCCCAGTTCAAGAATGACAGGGAACTACTGGAGAGAGACCAGCGGAGGGCTACGAAGACAATCAAGGGACTGGAGCATCTCTCTGATGAGGAAAGGCTGAGAGCCCTGGGGCTGTTCAGCCTGGAGAAGAGAAGGCTGAGAGGGAATCTCATCGATGCTTATCGATATCTAAAGGGTGGGTGTCAAGAGGATGAGGCCACACTCTTTTCCGTGGTGCCCAGTGACAGGACAAGGGGCAACAGGCACAAACTGAAACACGCGAAATTCCATCTGAACATGAGGAAAAACTTCTTTCCTTTGAGAGTGGCAGAGCACTGGCACAGACTGCCCAGAGAGGCTGTGGGGTCTCCTTCTCTGGAGATATCAAAAACCCTCCAGAATGCATTCCTGTGCAACCTGCTATAGGTGAGCCTGTTCTGGCAGGGGGGGTGGACTAACTGATCTCCAGATGTCCCTTCCAACCCCGACCATTTTGTGATTCTGTGACTCTTGAAGCACATCTGCCATATCTCTGTATCTGGACCCTTGTGATGCTTGCTTGGGCGCCCCAGTCATGTCCTCAGTGGGATTTTCCTGTGGGTGGGATGAAGGTTGGAGCTGCACAGTGGCTGTCTTGAGTGTTCCATTTGCAGAGCAGATGTGGCGCCTCCAGCAGTTATGACTCATCCTGGCTGATGAAAGCGTGGTGAGGTCATCTTTGGACCATAGCAGGTCATAGCAAGTTAGACCTCCGTCATCCTTCTTCTAGGCTGTACTAAGTGCTAATGTACTTGCACCATTAGAGTATCCAAATCTTGAACTCCTACGGCTGTTCCCTACTGTACGAGATGCTCTGACATCCATACTGCGTCTTTCTTTACCTTTTCTCCCATTTCCTTTGGTACAGATCTTTTGATTAAATGAAGACTTCAGGAATTGTCTGGTTTTCATTACCATTATCGTTCAATCAAGCTATCCTTGAACATTCAAACTTAAGGTCTCTCATCCATATCCTCTAGTCCTCCATGCCGTGCACAGTTTCATTCTTAATAACTTTTTCCTGATACCAAGTTTAAATCTGCTTTCCTAAGCTCTTTACCATTTGTTCTTTATCACAAGTGTTGCTGAGCGCTCACAAAATCCCCTCTCGCAGAGTCATTGCTGTCTAGCAGCTTTCTCGTAGTCTGTGATTACTTTACGTTTCGTATCAAGTGAAATAGAGATATGTTTTTGATTCTTACCACTATTAAGTGAACTGCTGTTGTTTTGTCTATGCCGAGAAGTTAAACCCTATTAGAACACATCAACTGCCAGGATTCAGCCCTCTAATCAAGGAAAAGTTTGCTGGAGATTAAGGCACGGGTCTTTCGGTGAGAGCTGAAATGGTGATTAATGCCAGGTACTGGGAATCAAAAATTCTTGATTACACCTTTCACTAGCGCCGACCTTTGCTACGGCCTCGCGCAAGCAATTTAGTCTCTGCTATAGGAAACACTTATGGAGCTGTTGTGGGATAAGGAGTTGCTGTAGGTCAGCACATCTGAGCTCTGATAGTTTGCCGCTAGTTTGTACGCGGCCATTCTCCCTCCCAAAGTGTTCTTCTCTTTATGTTGGTTTAACCATTTTTAAGCACGTGCTAGGTTTTAAAAGTGTTTAGTAGTGGTTCCCTTCGGTCCGCTGAAAGTTGCTTGTTTCAAGCTCAAGCTGCTGTGCCTCTCCTTTCCCATCTGGAAGAAGCATAATGGTGTAATTCACTTTTTTTTTTGGTGAGTTCTGTGCATCGAAAGCGCAGTGTAAATGAGCTTATGAAGAAAGAACGGCAAATGTATTGGCAGACGTGAAAAGATACGGTCAGTTAGTTTAATATGGTCCCATCAACCTTGACAACATTCCCTTAAGGACAACAGTGGTTGTCACTCGAAGCTGGTGACATTAGGTCTGTTATTTCAGAGATAAGCTCGGTGGTGGTCTCTCTGCTCTCTTCCTGGGTGACTCCACTGTTTCCCTGTTTGATAAAGCTGATTCACATTATCGATCTGTGAAAGCCAGGGAATAAAACTGCCATCCTTTGCGCTTCTCTCTATGCAGCATCTCTCTTTGGAGAGGCAATCTTCAAACATAACCGCGAATGGGTCCCCCTGCGGAAGCAATAACCGCATCGGCCCAAATGTGTCAACTCTAGACTGATGGAGTCAACGCTGCAGAGGCTTTAGGGAGCAAATTGTTCAGATTTGAAAGAAATCATGCTACTAAAATTGACAGGAGCTCCTCAGTCAGTCCTCTGAAGGGAAGCTGCCTCCTCCAGAGTGCTGAACGTGGAGGTAGAAAATTACGGACAATTAAGCAGACCTCGTTGAAGTGTTTGGGAAAATGCTTAGTGGTGAGGCGTCGCTAATAAATGCTAACTGCTCTGGAACTGTTAGAGATGTCTCAATTGCCCCCCAAAAAAACCCTCCTAGTGAAGAAGAGGTGGTTTTCGGGGTGCCGAGGGTGTTGCTACATATATTGGGAGATCCAAGGTCGAATGTTTGCTTCTGCTGCTGCTGTGTAAAACAAAGATAAAAACAATCCCAGCCTTTCCAGGAATGAGATTAAAATATAAAACCTTGCGAGGCACTCAGGTGCATCGATGAAAAAGGCTGCGTAAACACCATACACGTTTCTCCCTTTTGGACGGCGTGTCTAAATCCATTATGGCTCCTGATACTCAATTCCTAATTATTTTGATGCACACAGTTTTGAAAGGAAGACTAATTTCATTGCCTCAGATGTAAGTTAAAGAAATGACAAGGTAATTTCTAGAAGAAACTCCTATGCATTAAACAGATGGCATCGCTGAGATAAAGATATTTTGCGGGAGGAGATGGCAAACATTTTGTGTTAAAATATTCCCAGAATTGGCGTGCCGTTCTGCGTACGCAGGAACGGAATCCTAGGATGAAACAATAATGCATAATAAAAATATAACATAACACAGACATACATAATGCAATATGATATCAGCATAATATATGTGCATTGCTTTTTTCAGTGATATTTCTAGACTTCAAGCTGGAATGGGTTCAGTTTAGGGGTGGGAACCCACCTGTGGGAATCAAGTGACCAATCCCAGAAGGAAGTTTGCCTTTTCAAAGGGATTTCTGGCATCCTGAATTTTTCTATGGGGGTTTTATTTTTAAAAAGAAATCTTTCCAGTATGTCCCAAATAGAACAGTCAGTGATTTTTGGACAGATAAACACAGATCGTGCCCAGGTTGTGAATTTTCACCAATTCCCTGTTTTGTCTGTTCTTCTCCAACCATTGAGTCTGTCCAGCTGTTGACTTTAATGTATTTTTTTTGAAGGCTCCCTTATAGACCTGTTCTACTCTTCATGCCTCATGTTGGCCCAATCTATGGTCATTCCCCCACTGCTGGTGCTTGGCTCTGAGATGTAGGAATGGCAAAGGCAACACTAACACATTTAGAGTAACTACATGGTTAGACTACATTGCATTCTTCCCTTTCTGTTTTCCAGATTTATCCAGGAGATAGAGCACGCCATGGAGCTTGGCCCAACCAAGCAGTGTCCGCTCCGCGAGTTCCTCACTATGTACATCAAGAACATCTTCCTCAATCAGGTCCTGGCTGAGATCAATAAAGAGATTGAAGGCGTCACGAAGGCATCTGATCCCTTGAAAATACTGGCTAATGCAGATACCATGAAGATCCTAGGTGTGCAGCGGCCTCTTCTGCAGGTAGGAGCTGAGTGAACTGCCAATGCATCCCTTACTGTCCATGTCTAGCCATGACCTGGGTATATATCCAATGAGGAAAGACATGGAGCTGCTCGAGCAGGTCCAGAGGAGGCAAAAAAGATGCTCCAAGGGCTGGAGCCCCTCTGCTGGGAGGACAGGCTAGGAAAGTTGGGGGTGTTCAGCCTGGAGAAGAGAAGGCTCCAGGGAGACCTCAGAGCCCCTTCCAGTGCCTAAAGGGGCTCCAGGAGGGCTGGGGAGGGACTCCTGATCAGGGAGGGGAGCGATGGGATTAGGGGCAATGGTTTCAAACTGGAAGAGGGGAGATTTAGATTAGATATTCGGAAGAAATTTTTCACTCGGAGGGTGGTGAGCCCCTGGCCCGGGTTGCCCAGAGAAGCTGTGGCTGCCCCATCCCTGGAGGGGTTCAAGGCCAGGTTGGACGGGGCTTGGAGCAACCTGGGCTGGTGGGAGGTGTCCCTGCCCATGGCAGGGTGGTGGAACTAGATGACCCCTTCCATCCCAAACTATTCAATGATTCTGGACCCACAAAATCTGTCTCACCATTGAGTCTGTAACTGGGATCTATTCCAGTGTCACTGCTAGTGTAGTCTTTCTTCTTCCAGTCTCTGTGTGCAGATGGGTTACATACATTGAGCGCTCTTATGTTTCATGAGTGCAGGAGGGTATGACTCTCTTGCTGAATATGTCAAGCTAACGGTGATCTTTGCATCTTGCCGGGCATGTGCCGTTATTAAAGCACCTTGTAGCTATCACAGCAAATTGTCGCCACGTTTCTCAAACCCAAACCTCAGAACCTTATTTTCAAGATTTGCAATAATGTGTGCCTGCCCCAGAAGTTCTGAGGCTGCTTGCAAATCAGAGCTCTGTGCGATCGGACTGAATGAACGTGCCAAACAACCAGAAGGAGCAAAGATAAGATCTGTTGCCTCCCAAGTGCAGCGGGTTTGTGATTGATGTGATGCCGTTGCAGCGAGGCAGCTGTATGGCCTCCCCAGCCAGATAAGAGATATTGGAGAGCTTTGGCTTTGAAGTTAGAGTATTTATAGGAGAAGTCTCTTTCGAAACAGCTTTTTGGAGCTCTCACGTAGAGTAGTGATAATAGCAAAAAGCACCGTTCTCATCCCAACTACATGGGTAACAGGAAAGTATGGAAGCGCCCCCCCCAAAAAAAATTTCTAAATTAGATGTGTTGCATGGGACTGAAAGGAATGAACTAACTGCCGGCTCTGACTCTTGCTGTGATTTGGGTCAAGCTCTGTTAATCCTTTTAAATTATTCCCTCATATCTGTAAAATCACCTCCTCAGGGATGAATAATATTTGCAAAGTTCTTAGGAAGTAGCACGCATCTCCTCAGGTTTGTGTGGCCACTTTCTGTCTTAGTTTATAACTGGCAAATGTGTGTATATTATAATGATATATAATCATAGTAATAACTATTATTATTGTTACTATTTGGGGGAAATCACTAGGAATTTTGCCTGTATTAATGGTCACTAACGCTATGCCTGTCCAGGTGCTGCAGTTATGGGATGCTTCTTTCAGAAGCAAAGCACAGTGAGATTCCAGCAGAGAGTTTTGAGAAGTCTTTAGAGGGGAACAGCTTCCTTGGAAGGGGGAGGAAAGTTTCTTTACATGGTTTAAAAAGTCTCCATGAGTTCAAATGATGATTTGAAGTGGGACAGCATCCCTGAACTACTCTATTCCCAGGGCTTTACCTTCCATCTCAGAAACTCAGCTGTCAAAACCGAAAAGTGGAGGAATACAACCCGTTGGAAATCATTGCTAACATAAAAATTGTTTCAGCCTCAATATTCACTGAGCATGCACAATGTAAGATGAGAGCAGGGCATTGCCCCAGGAGCAGGTTATGTCTGGGTATCTCACGTTGGATGGATTTGATGGTCCACCTCTAGAGCCCTCAACATAAGAAGGACATGGATCTGGTGGAGCAGGGCCAGAGGAGGCCACCGAGATGCTGTGAGGGCTGGAGCCCCTCTGCTGGGAGAGTTGGGGGGGTTCAGCCTGGAGAAGAGAAGGCTCCGGGGAGACCTTAGAGCCCCTTCCAGTATCTGAAGGGCGCCTACAAGAAGGCTGGAGAGGGACTTTTTGGAAGGGCATGTAGTGATGGTACAAGGGGAAATGGCTTCAAACTGGAAGAGGGGAGATTTAGATTAGATATTAGGAAGAAATTTTTCACTCTGAGGGTGGTGAGGCACTGGCCCAGATTGCCCCGGGAAGCTGTGGCTGCCCCATCCCTGGAGGTGTTCAAGGCCAGGTTGGACGGGGCTTGGAGCAACCTGGGCTGGTGGGAGGTGTCCCTGCCCATGGCAGGAGGGGTGGAACTCGATGATCTTCAGGGGCCCCTCCCAACTAAACCATTCTATGATTCTATGGCAAAAGTGTAGGCACAAGAAAACCAGGAATGGTCACGAAACAAGAGCACAGTATTGAAAACCGCTTTAAGAACATCAGAAGGGGTTCTGTAGATCAAGAACTGGAGCATGTTGGCAGGAGCACAGCAGAGAGGGGCTGCGCTGGGGAAGAAACTACAACATGCGCCCTTGGTTTGCAGCTATCTGCAATGCCCGTAATTCCTCACCATTGCAAGTGCCTTGCAAAAAAGAAACGTGCCACATCTGTGGCACACATAGAACTCTTCCAAGACTTGATTTTCAGAACAGGGTTGAAAAAAAAAAATGTTTAGGGCAGTTTGGTCTTCCACAATGGGAGAAGTGTCTGAAGATTGTAACTATGAGTTACAATGGAAAGCAAAATTCTGCTTATTCATGGTCTGAGGATTCCATTGAAGATGTTATTTGAATTTCATTTTGAGAGGTATGGAAATAAATACAGGTATATTCTGTGTTGTATTTTATATTCTTTGCCTTCTTTTGTTTTCTCTTATGAGAATTAAACTGAGTGAGAACCCAAACTCAGCCTGCGCAGGCATCTGACCTTATCGAGGGCTTAAAATACTTTATGGTAATATTAACTCGCAAGCTTTGGAGCAGGACCATGGAGGTTGATAACCTTACAAATTTGTTTCAGATTCTTAATGCAGTAATGTATTTTTGTGGATTGTGGCTTGGTTTGTAGCCATGAAAATGTGTTCTATAATATCAATACATTTTCTTAAAGTTCATTTGGGGTTGAAGAGTCAGAATGGCTTGGAATTTTCTCGTCCAGTTCCTATAATTTGTTTCTCATGATGGATGGAAATCATTTTGAACTGGAATTATTCTTGGTCAAAATGTACGTGGTCAGAAGGTCTGCCTGTTCCTGACATTATAGACGGGTAATTTTGTGAAAGAGAAGAAAAATTGCTGCCTCTTTGAACCAAGTCATCCAAATAGCTCCCTAAAATAATTTTATTGATTTTACATTAAAAGGGAAAAAGGAAAAAAAAAGCCTATTTCTGCATTGACGGCGCTGAAGCCCGAAATCTTTGCCCTCATCACCTCATGGGCAAAATACAGTCTGTAGCGTGAATGAGCCTTGCGCCTCTCTCCCAGCGCTGTGTTACTTTTTTCCTGCCTTGTGTCATTCGTGGAGGGGTTCGTGGTTCAACCATCCCACTCTTTTCTATCCCCAAGATCTTTCTGAAGCTTCTGCGGCGGGAGCCGGCGCTGTGATTTGAACACGACTCGAGAATTTATCAGTTCCCACTGCACAGGCTGATAATAGCTGCTTTTTGATAACTATCACCACGTGTTTGAATTGAATTAGCTTCTAGATAAGAGGTTTTCTGGCATCCTGTGCCATCATGTCCTCTCAGATGAATCACCCATTTCTGTAAAGATTATGCTTTAAAAATAAAAAATAAAAAATTGTAGCTGCCCTTTGTAAATAGTACATTTGACTAAGAGGATGGTCTTGTTTTCCATTCTTCCCTCCTTAAATGTAAAATATTGTAAATCCCTTGCCTTTTAAGAGTGACTGAATAACCGTGAAACTAATTTGTCTCAAAATTATTCTGCATTAAACTTCATGCTGTAATTGCTTAAATCAATACTAAATTAGGCTACAAAGCAGCTCGACAGCCTGTTATAGCCTGTTCTTGTACGGTTCGTGTCGAGGTGATAAGTCTTTCCCGCTAGGTGGTCACTCCTAATACTGGCCTTAAAAATGCAGTGCCCTGTCTCCATCCAACAAAAAAGCACTCATTTCTTCGATCTTTCCACTCTGTAAGAGCCGAGTGGTTTTTTTTCCTGTAAAGCATCAGTGCGACCGTCGTTTCTTAGAGCAGTATTGTGTAGATGATGGGCGTGATAGTTTTCTGGCCAAGCTCCAGTGGCTGAAAATCCAGCAAAAAAAAACAAAAACGAAAAACCCTCCTTCAAAAAGTCAGAGTGCGCAGCTGTTAGCTGGATAATGACTCGCTGGAGTTAATTACCCCGTCGCCTGCACCGCTTATCCCACGCGCTAAGTCACTCGCTTGTGACATTCCAAGGAGACATCACTGGTAGCTTTGGCATGTTTTCTTCCCGTCAAATTACTGGTTATTAGGAAGAAGAATGGTCGCCGTGAGTGGCGTTGAAATGGCTCACCAGTAGTGATGGGTGCATGCTTTGATAGCGGGTGGATGTTATTATTTATTAGTGTAAACAAATTAGTTGTTTTTCCAGGCTGGCTTCCAACGATCAAAATCCATTAAGGAGGAGGCATGGCTGATCAATTGGGTTTTTCCCATTCAAGGACAAGTGTGACTTTTGAGGCAGCACCTGTGGTTCTGGCCCTCGTATTTCAATGTTTTTGGCAGTGACTTGGTGTCTAAAAGAGTATGAAGTGCTTTGCAGATGTTTTCATCTCTTGTGTGGTCTATCTGTTTCCACTACACAGCCAAAATGTGGAGAGGTTAAGACCCGCCAACTGAGTCCGTGGCAGAATTTCGAGCTGAATCTTCTTTTTCAGCTTGAAATGAGAGCCAAAATTATCTCTCTGTGGGAGCCTGAATCTCCCTATTGCTTTCAATATTTC